TTCGGTTTAAGTTTTAAAATATTTAATCTAAATTCCATTTTTAATAACGCTTTTAAAACACCATGATAGGTTAAACCTATAGTTTAATAGCGCTTTAATATATTTTAAAAAAGAACACTATTCAAACCCTTTTTTAGTGTTTTCATTATATTTTTTTAACAAATGAAAAAGAAAAACAAGAAACTGCTTAAAAAATAAAGTCCTCTCTAACCTCGACCGCGAGAGACTTTTACTCTCCATCACACAATTGAAGATAAGGATCAGATTCTCCATGACACAATTGAAAAACATAAGGATCAGATCAGAAAGCTATTGGCATAACAAAAACAATATCATGTCCTTTATTGTTTCTCACTACTATAACATTTGACTTGGTCATCACAATAAGAGACACAATTGCTCGGAAGATTCAACATGTGGTTACTAAAACAAACACTATGGACAACAAAAGGAAAATAGACATGATACTACTACGTCATACCTAGCACGTCATTATAAGTAAAAACTGTTTATTAAATTGATATATTTACCTTAAATTTAGGAAAATAAATGACTAGTAAATTCATCGTATTAACTTTAATTTCATTGTTGAATTTTAAAAATTGATTTTTTTTTTTTTTTTATATTTTCATTCATTCATAAAAGTAAAATTATCATTTGTAAATTTATCATAACTTAAAAATAAGAACTCCTAGAGCAACTTTAATGGGAGCAACTAAATTGAATTAAGAAGCTTTTACTTTAATGGTGATTGTTTATAAGAAATTCAAACTTGGTATTAAATGGTTTTTATCTATTATTTATGTTAAATAATGAGTTAGAGTATGTTGCTTGTGTAGAGCACGTAAACTAGTTTTAGAGCATCCCGTATGTCATGTCAGTTCTAATATAATACAAATTTCTTATTACAAACGTAAGTTATACACAATTTTGGTTTAACAACTATAGGTTAAAGTTGCTCTTAAAAAAGACAAGGTTAGAGTGTTAACAAAATTATTCTAGTTATGATTTTTTTTTAATAAATAAAACATTAAAAAGGGTTTTTAAAAGATACAATTTATATTATGTAAAAAAAATAATACATTTTACATAGTAATTCAAAAAAATTATTTTTGCCTGCGGAAATATTTTTAAAAAAAGTATTTATAAAAAGAAAATAATAATTTTTTAAATCACTTATTAAAAAATTTATTGATTTGAAAACACTTTTTTAAAAATTGTTGGAAAAAGTTATATATAAAAATGAAAATGAAATTGAGATATGATAATTTTATTTTTAGGAAGAACCGAAAAAAAACATAAAAAATGATTTATTACTACAATTAATAAAAAAAAATTAATTTAATTTTTTTTAAATCAATTAATTTAATAGTGTTTTTAAAAAATAATTAAACTAAAATTTATATAAATATGCTAATAAGTAACTGAATTACTATTAAATATATTGAATTACTATCAAAATAATTAATTTAAAAGTAATTGACATTAAAAATATAAATCATTTTAACATTTTGAAAATGAAAAAATAAATTCAAGATGATTGTTCCCATAATATAAGAAAAAAAATAAAACTTAATAAATTATGTATACGACATTAATAATATACATTTCAATCCTGACATAGTATAAAAGTAGAAATAAATAACTAATTTAAAAAAACTAATTTAGTTCGGTTAAATTTTGTAAGGGAATAAATTGAATTTTTTTTTTGTTGAGAATTAATTTAAATTATATAATTTTTGTGGGGTTCAATTTGAGTCACTCTAATTATAATTTATTATAAATACTTGAGACAAAAATTATTAAAGTTAAATTTTAATTTGTAAAATTTAATAATTTAAACTTATTATGAAATTTACTTATAAAACAAATATTTGAGATTAGATAATTAACTAAAATTTGTAATTTTTTAATATTGTTGACATAAAAAGACAAGAAAATTATAATATATTAAATATAATTTTGTTCACCTTTTAAATTGTAACTTTTTTTCAAATGAGTCATTAAAATTCTTTCCACCTTTTAAATGTTAACTTTTTTTCAAATGAGTCATTAGAAAGAATCATTAATACATACCATTCATAAAAAATTGTAATTAATCAATTGTGAATTAAGTTTTTTATATACTTTCTAAATAAATAAAAGAATATTAATTGTTAGTTGATTTAGTGTTAATTGACGTTAAGGTTTGGTAAAGAAAAACACGGTTTTATCTCATGCAATTACGAACGGGGGAAATTGAAACCACTTGATGTTAGAACTGACCCCTGAATCAAATTAGTCAATTGAGTGGACTGGATACTAGTGGTGAAATTTGCAAGCATCACTTTTTGGAATGGATTGCAAGACAGAAAAAATATTCAATGTTCTTCTATCTTGAACAAAATAGTTTTTCTGCCCTTGCAATCTATCTTACATAATGGTGTTAATATTGTTGTTGTTGTATTTTTGGAATAAGTCTCAGTTAAAGAAGGGTACACAGTTGATAGATTGCAAGTACAGAAAAATATTATTGTTTCAAGTTACCAAAAGAAATGTGCTTAACCAACAATGAAGTGAGTTCAACCTTTGAAAAGAGCTCAATTAATAGATTGTAAGTTCAGAAAATCATTCTTACTTCAAGTTAAGCAAAGAATGGAATTTAACCAACAAATAAAGAAACTAGCTCAACCTTTGAGGAGTACTCAGTTAATAGATTGCAAGTGCAGAATTTCATTCTTATCTCAGAAATATTTGGTTTAATGGGTATCCAACAAAATCTGGATATCACCTAAGATTTGTTGTAAACAATATTTTTTTATGTTTTGTGTATACAATGTATTTTTAAAAAAATAAAAGAAACAGTCACATTGGTTTTCTTTAAACTGAGGTGACAGTTAAAACAAAATCTCGATTTTATAGTCTCTCCGACTATTTTTATCATGAGTTGCTACTACAAATCTATACAATGGATTGCAACTGCAGAAAATAAAAATTTTCATTGAAAAATAGATTTTACAATGTATTTGTAATATTCTGTATAAACAATGTAATTTAAAAAAAAAACAGCTTATTCACCTCGATTTTCTTCTTGCCCGATAGTATAGTTAAACATTTTTTATTTATTTTTCATGAATAAACAAATATTTGTCGCCCATTCAATGTTTATCAACACTTAAGAATCTGACATTAGAGATCCGCGTGAAACCTAAGGGATATCCTTTATAAAAATATGTTGAATATTGAAAATTTAACCTAAATGAAAGATGGAGTGCTTGAAATATAAAGACGTTTAGAAAATTTCTCTAAGATAGATATCAAGAGCATAAAATTACTTGGGTTTAAGGTTTGTTTTCTTAAATATTTATTTGAGTATAAAATCATATATTTGAATATTGATTTTATTTATCTAACTCTTATTTTATTTTGCTTCAGAATCAAATGCATGCAAGATCCGAAGAGACAAACCTTGCATCCAACATTTGATCTTCCACAATATTCAATAAATCGAAGATCTAAAGTTTAGATTTTCACGGTATTTGATTTTTACCTTGTTCTCTAAGGAATTTGACTTTTATTTTAAACAATTTAGTATTCTGGGTAAACAATCTAATATTATGAGTAAACAATTAAAAAAATGAAAAAGAAATTATCTAACCCTTCGATTTTCAAGATAAATCGAGATGAAATATATGCTAGTTTTGAAAATAATAAAAGTGTTGTTGTTGGGGTTCGAACCCATGTAGGTTTAACTTTACTCTCAGTTTTAATAACACCGAGGTGATAAGTTGCGAGTTATCATGTCACCCTCAATTACCTTGCTTCTATAGTCGAGGTATTATGCATTTCACATCTGAGATAACAAGCGTTTTTTTGTAGTAGTGGAGAGAGAGAGAGAGAGAGAGAGAGAGAGAGAGAGAGAGAGAGAGAGAGAGAGAGAGAGAGAGAGAGAGAGAGAGAGAGAGAGAGAGCACCAGAATTTATAGTGGTTTGGTACGTTTGTCCTCACTTTGTACTTAATCCACTCTTCAATTGAAATATTTTACCAATTTTTTTAGGTGTACGACTTTAAGCTAGGAAAGCAATGAGTTTCAGAAGTGATTTCTCCATGATTTGGTTTTGGATCAAACATATTTTGATCATGAAATTTCGCGCGAATTCGATGTCGAATTTTCAGATGACACTGTTATTCCACGTGGGAATTAGAATTGATGTTGAGTGATGATGTTGAACTCTTGAAACGCTAGTGTTGATCTTTAGTGCAGATGCGTGGGGTGAATCTGAAAGATTAGCTCTCAAACATTCAATTCAATTACAAAATTTATGATGAATATAATAAAAATTAAAGATAAAAAAAATACATCTCAAACCTTATATATATTGAATATATATGTTGAACAATTTCAATTTAACTATGCATAATTGGACCCTGCATTAGACTTTTGGTCAACCCATAATAGAATATATAAAAATGACCATATCTATTTCATTAGTTTAAAGTTTAAAGTTTGATGTCTAATAAAAGCATACTTTTATTACTATTTATATTGTTTAATTTTAACTATACTAATTAAAAGTTAAATTACACCTATGTTATTAATAAATTTATAGGTGATGTACTAACCATATACAAAAAATTTATATTATTATTTAATAAAAATATATCATTCTATTATGTTATATAAGTTTAAAATTTTCAATCTAATTTAACAAGACGTATAATTATTATTGGTTAACAATATAAACTCTTTACACGGTGTTTTTCTATATTAATTAAATATATTATTTATTTATAATTTACAAATTTTAAAGTAACAATATTAACAAATACGTATGAAAAGGTATTACGTAAATAAATCAATATTTGTAATTACGAACTTTTACTTGTAATTAGGTGCGAAAACAGTATACATTAGAACCATCTTTCCTCTATATAAAAGCACTCATCCTTGTGCATTTACCTATCACAAACCCATTCTTCAAGAGAAAGAAACCTAAGAACTCTAAACACAACCAAAACCATGCAAACTCTATTTTTTTTCTTAGCACTCCTTGCCATAATAAATGGAATCCAAGCAGTTGAGTACACTGTAACCAACACCGCACTCTCTACTCCTGGTGGTATGCGTTTCCGTGATCAAATAGGAGATCAATACGCGACACAAACCCTAGACTCCGCCACACAATTCATATGGAAAATCTTCCAAGAGGACAACCCTGGTGACATAAGAAACGTGCAAAGGGTGAGTTTATTTGTGGACGACATGGATGGAATTGCATATACAAATACAAACTCCAATGAAATTCACGTTGGTGCAAGGTATCTAAATACTATTCAAACGATAGACGAACTTACAGGGGTATTGATTCATGAAACAACACACGTTTGGCAGTGGTATGGAAATGGTAAAGCTCCAGTGTTTTTAACTGAAGGTATAGCAGATTATGTGAGATTGAAAGCAAACTATATACCTGATCATTGGGTTAAAGCAGGAGGAGGGGATAGCTGGACCCGAGGTTACGATGTTACCGCTCGATTTTTGGAGTATTGTGATGGTTTAAGAAATGGGTTTGTAGCAGAGTTGAACAAGATGATGAGAACTGATTATAGGGATGATTTCTTTGTTACGTTGCTGGGAAAGACGCCTGATCAGTTATTTACGGACTATAAGAATCATTATGGCAATATACCCTAATTTGTTATACAGCATGTTATTATTTAAATGTAAGAATAAAAATCTAACCATTCGCAAAGTCGATATTGTTAGATTGAAAATCTTATATAAGTGAAATATAACTGCGTGAATTTCATGTGATATTTTGTTATTTCTGTCGACCTATAAAATATGTAAAATAAGCAACTTTGTTGTTGTCTTTGTAACAAGTTTGTATGAAGATATTCATATTATCAATAGAAAGCATATGGTTTATGGTGAAATACGGCAGGGCACATCAATTTTACCGTACGTGCTTAGACTATAGAACAATTTGTCCTTAAAGCTTAGATCAATCGTTAATTCGTTATTCTTAGGTCGGTCATATCCATCGAAATTTAAATTGATAACTTCTCAAATGTGAGAGTTTTATATGATGTATATGATTTCATTGGTAGAAAAAAATTAGAACCTCAAAAAAGAATTATAATCCATTTAAAGAGAACATCTATCAAAAGTATATTGAATTTTTTTGTAAGTACAATAGTATCGTCTCTGTTTGTAATATGCCAAATAAAAGATCGTACATAGGTTATTCGTAAATAATGTATCATTTAGCTTAACTCTCAAAATAGATATATATAGTCCTACGTGATTTAATTAGACATGTTTAGTCTCGAATTTATTTCATCAGTCTCATCAGTATGACCCCGCTCCATTAAAGAGTGTGGTGGATGACTTGACTTTGAAAATTTCTCAGGTCGTGGTGACACCACCCACATGTCGAACATGTGTCCTAGCTCATTGAATCTCATTTGAGATCTCATGAGCATATCACATAATTATAAGTGAGTGGATCGAGTTAGATGATTTTACATGGGCATGTGCTAGCTATAACATTTGTGATGATCTATATATGTTTTACAAATTAAATTGCTCACTAGACTATATGTATTTTTCACAAACCCTATAAAAGCCTGATATTTTAGTTTTTTGAAAGTTATCTTCCAAGCGCATTTTTATTTTTAAATGGTTTTGTTTGAGTGTGTCGGGATAAAAAACCCAAAATTTCTCTTTTTAAAAGTTATCATCTAGAGACACCCTTATTTTATATTGGTTTTGTTTGAGTTTGACCAAAAGTTATATTCTGAACAATGTCCAAAAGTTATCTTCCAGACATGATTTAATGATAACTTCCTAACACGTTCCATTAACTTCTATTGCGTAAGGAAAAGTGAATAACATGATATTTGATGCACCGAAATATAATTTTTGAATAAAGATATTTTTTACCCTTTTGTAGGGTTTGTGAGAAATACATATGATATGATTTAAAGAGCAACCCCTTTTAGAAATTAATGCAAGATTAGTATGAAAGGAATGATTTTTTTTCTCCGATCATGTGTGATGGGACATTCATTGTGGTTAATGTTTATGTTAAGTGTTCCTTGATGGAGAAGAAAGTGACGTCGGATCATCTGATTCTTGCACGTAGGCGGTTTCAGGGAGTTTTGTGGTGTCTTGGGTGACTTTAAAAATGTCATTAGGCCAAATAAAAAAAGGGTAAGTTAGGAGAATCAAGTGTCAGGTTTGGTTGAATCTCTTGAGTTTCAGGTTTTCATCGATGTAACATCCCAAATTTAATTGGAATATTTTAATTTATTTATTTAATTGAGAATATTCATTTTTCGACGATTTTTGGTGGTTTTGTGGAGTCATTGAGAATTATGCATTTTTGGGTTATTTATTTAATTAATAGTATATAATATGAATATATTAGTATTATTATTAATTAAAATAAATATAAGATGAATAAGGGCAATTGGGACAATTCAGAGGAGTTAGTGAGGGTATTATGGAGAAAGCCCAATTGTGAGGCTCAAGACTAGGTTTAACAAAAAGGAAATTGGAAAAGGATTAGGATTCATTTGTTAGACCGTGAAAAGTATTGAGGTCACAGCTCTGAGGAGAGGATTGGAGGCAGAAGCTTCGAGAGATTCCCTGAAAGATTTGTGAAGGCTTTGAATCGACGATTAAGGTATGAGGAGTATTACCTTCATGATTTTCCATGTGTAACTTTCAATGTATTTAAGGTCGATTTAAGGTTTAAGGATTTTGAGGGTGGATATGAGAATTAATGATCTTTGGCCTTCGTGGCCTAAATCTATTATTGTGAATCTAACCGTGGAATTCATTGGAGAAAAGGGAAAGTTAGGCCTTCGTGACCAAAACCATGATTTGTTATTTGTCTAACCCTGAAGGGATAGAAAAATTAGATAGTGAGTAACTCTAATGCCTTGGGATAATTGTAGGGAAATTTGTGATTTAGGGTGTGAATATGATACAGGATTGACCTAATAAACCGTAGGTTTTGTGCCTTTATCGCCGTAAGACCTTAGGGATGATTTATGAATGTTTTGGGGGCATTGGGAAAGTGAATCGTGTGGAAATTTGGATGGATTTAGGTTCTGGTGCGTAGCAGAATTTGATGTTATCGCACTGTCCGCCTAGAGAATAATGCTTCGCCTAGCAAGAACCATGTTGTTCCCAGACTCGCCTAGCGAACATGCCAACGAACGTAGCAGAGTTTTGCGAATGTTGATCGTGTACAGCGATGCCTTGATGTTTAATTTTGTGATTTCTATGACGAATTAACATGAGTATGACTGTGAGTTTTATGTGATGTGTACATGATTACATGATGATTTCTATGATGTATTGATTGGAAAACTATGATGTTATTACCATGACTTTGATGAATTATATGATGACATGAGATACGATGATGATTGTGATGATGATGAATGATGATGCACCATGTTGTTATTATGAGGATGATTATTGACGTGTGCATCATGCATTCATGTGCATCCGGACTTCGGTTTAGGACCTCGATTACTTTGGTTTCAATCCCATTCTGCAGATGTGAAGTGTTTTGATGTGCTCCGGTTCTCAAGTAGAATCGATCCTATTGATGGGTATCTATGGAGGATTGATGGCCCACTGTCCATCGCGCTGTGATGATTGGTACCACATGCATTGATTCTTGTTGCATTTGTATTTATGGGATGATTGTGAGTAAATTGTGATGTTGTGACCTTTGATTCATATTGACGAATATGATGATGTTGAATATGAAAATGACGCCATTTTATATGTTGATTTTATACATTGATTATTATGAATCGTTTTACTCACCCTACCTGTTTGAATGTTGCCTCCACGTGGGTAACGTGCAGATGACCAGGTTTAGTCGTGGACGCCGTCGAGGATATTTTTGAGGTTTTGAGTCGTTAATCTTTCTGGTTAACTTATAGGGTCTTGCTCTGATATGTAACATCGGGTTGGGGTCTTTTGAGTTAAACTATATTTTATTGAGTTTATTTTTATTATCTTCCTGTATGAGGAACACCTTGATTTATACCTTTTGAGTTCCGCTGCTTTGTGCAACTTGATGTATTTTGGGAAAACCCGTTGTTTACTGAGACTCATGGAGGTCCGAAAGGCATTTAGGTTGAATATCATGTACTCTACATGATAAGTTTAAAGCTCTCAAATCTAATATCAAGGTGTGTAATAAGGAGGTGTTTGGTAATATGTAGTTTAAGATAAAGATTTATATTGATAAGATAGTGTTTTGGGTGTTTATTGTGGAAGTGACACATCTTATTTTGGAGGAGTCGGGTTTTAGGTTGGTAGTCTTCTATAAGCTTAGTGATATTTTATGTTGGTGTGATGCTCAACTACTCTAGAGCTCGAGGGCATCTTGGCTTAAAGAATGATACTTTTTAGGTGAAATATTTATTCTAACTATGGTGAAAGATAATTTTTGTAATGCATTTTCTATCACACTTTCTATCACACCCTTCATTACCATAGACAATCAATCATGGTAAAATCATTACTCCAAATGTGCTGAAATATAATTTTTGTAGTAGTGGTAGTCTGTGAAGAGCTTGGTGAGATTTTATGTTGTCGTTACAATCCACTATTTCAGTGTTTGAAGGCAGCTTACCTTAAAGAATGAGATGCTAATTCAATTTATTTTCATGATCTACAGGTTGAGGATCGGTGGGTACTGTAGGTTATCCATCTGCGTAGGGAGATATCCAAGTATCTTAAGAATCAGTTTTTTGAGTTCGAGGATTATATGCCTCTTCTGGATGGGGTTATTTTACCCCGCCTTTTGTCCAAGGAGGTAGAATGGATGTCTGTCAAATTTTTCCCATATGAAGTAGATGAGGTGGTTGTAGGGTTAGATGGGTGTAAAAGTTTGAGTTTGGATGGGTTTAACTTTTATTTTTTAATAGCTTTTAGGATTTATTAAAGGTGGAGTTATATGGTATGTTCGACCAATTATTTGAGAATACCATTATTTTAAAATGTTTGATGTCATTTTTCATCGCTCTTATTTCGAAGGTAAATTCTTCGTTTGGAGCTAGGTCATTTTAGACTTATTTCTCTCATTGATTCTTTGTATAAGTTGGCGGCAAAAGTCTTGGTGGCTGGCAGAGGTCATGGATTTTCTTATTTCTCCAGAGTAATCAACCTTTATTGAGAGTAGACATTTGTTGGATAGAGTGGTTGCTTTGAATGAAGTGATAGATTTGGAAATAGTTTCTAAGAGGGAGTGCTTAGTGTTTAAAGTGGAATTTGAGAAGGCTTATGTATCGGTTAGTCATTCTTTCTTGTTGGAAAAAGTTTGGTTCTGAAACTATCCTTGAGTTTTGATGATGCTAAAGCATAATATTTATAGAAAACAATTTTGTACTCTAATTATTTTGTTAAGTGCGCAGATCAAGGAAAACCAGTTTTGGCTCTGAAGAAGTCAACTCTGGACGAACCAGACTCTGAATTATATATGCACTCTAAACCAAAGGAAGAAACAAAGTCGTGTTTTAAATTAAAGTCAGGCATGTGGATTACCAAGTCAACGCTTCTGCAAGGATCTAGCTAGAATGACTCTGATAAAGAATCTGATAGTTCAAGCTTTTGAATTCATATGACTCTGAACTCTATAGACTCTGAAGTATCATTTTCAC